GTGATATCATTAGTCATCAGGGAAGTGCAAATGAAAACCACAGTGAGACATCACTTCACATCTATTATATTAGACTGTAATAGAAAAGACCGACAATAACAAGGGTTGATGAGGATGTGAAGAAACTGGGACACTTGTATGTTGTTTGTGGGAATGTATTGGAATAAACTGATGCAGCTCCTTTGCAAAACAGTCTGGCAGTTTCTCAAAATATTAAACAGATCACATGACCCAGCGATTCCACTCCTAGGTATAAATTTACGAGAAATGAAAACACATGCCTACATAGAAATTTCTACATGAAATGTTCACAGCAGTATTTTTATAATAACCAAAAAGCATAAATAACCTAATATCTAACCAGCTGATGATTGGATAAATAAAATGTACTGTATCTATGTAATAGAATAGTATTAAGCAATAAAAAGAAGCAAAATTCTAGATGGAAGAATTTTGAAAGCATTATGCTAAGTAGCAGAAGTCAGACTCAAGAGACCACACATATTATGATTCCATTTATAGGAAATGTTCACAATGGGCAAATCTACAGAGACAAAAGATTCTGTGTCGCTTACAGTGAGGAGAGGGGGGTTGATGAGAGGGATGGGGAATTACTGCCATAGAGTGTAGAATTTTTTTTACAGGGAATAAAAATGTTCTAAAATTATATTTGGTGATGGTTATATAACCCTGCAAATGTACCGTAAAACACTGAACTGTGTACTTGAAATATTCACATATTGTATAATATGTGAATTTGTATCTTAAAAAAAAAAGGTGGGCTAATGATCCAGAGTAGATCAATTAGTATTGTCAGAACCTGCTGAGCAAAGTCATTGTTTCACTCAGATTCTGGCAGAATAAGCAGGTTGGACAGAGAAAACTTCTCAAATGGAAAAATGTAGCAATAATAATAATAGGATAATAGTCACATTACTAACAGTAAAAATTAAGATTGATATGATCTTTATGGTTAACAAAGTGCTTTCACATTTATTTGATTAAATCCTTCCACTCACTTGAATCATACGAGGGAGGTGTCATTACACACACCAGACTCCCAAGGGAACTGAGGTTCAGAGAGTTTAGGAACAAGTGAGATCACCTGGACAGTAAATGCTGGGTGGAGAGGAGAGCCCTGGTCCACCTGCCCCAAATCTCATGCCATTTCACTCAGCTTGAGAGGGCAAGGGCCATGTTCTGTCTTGTTACAGTGGTGTCCCCAGGGCCTGGCAGGGTGAATGAATGTATGAATAAGTAGTAAAATGCCACTCTTGGACTGTGAGACCAGCTATTGCGAAGCATGGCTTCAGCTCCTCCTAGAAAAAGGAGACCAAGAAGTAAAGTCAGAGAAAGTACAGCCTGTTTGTACAATGTTGCTGGGTGCTGGACAGTAGCCCAGTCTCCAGAAGTCACATTGATCTGAGCCCTTCACAGGTACAGGGAATGAGGAGAGAACACCTCAGAGCTGAAGGCTTCCCTTTTCTCTGGGCCTTGTATATGGTCCAGTGCTCTCAGCTAGCCAGTGCCCTACTAGCATCCTCCTCTGAGGCACCTGGATGGTCTCAGCCCCAGTCTCCAGGCTCCTACCCTCTTAAATTACTGGTAAGTATTTGCAGCCCAGAGAGAAGCTGCACACTCCAGAGCTAAAGCCTGCCCACAGTTAGCTTGTGCTGAACCAGACACTACCCTGAAACTAGCATGGGCTCCCACAGAGGAGGAAAATCTAATGCACGCAGAGGGTGTCTTTACTGATGGAACCTGTATAGTACAGAGAAGGCGAGCATTCTATCTCCACAGAGAGCTGTGTCTTCTGTGTAATATGTTGAATTGATAGATAATTGAGTTTGGCTACTTGTTTGGCTGATTGTGGAGAAGTAGCAAAGATGCTATATTTCGAGGTTTTCCTTTCTCCAAGGACCAGATGTTTTTTTTGGAAAGAACCTTGAATTTGGATACAAAACCTTTTTCTGCCAATCACCTCAATGCCCTTCCACTGGAGCTGAAGTTCCTCATCAATCCCATGAAAATCTCACAGGGCCATACAGAGAGAAGTGCTTACCCAAAGCCCATAGCCAGTAATTGGCAGAGCTTGAATTTGAACCTAGGGTTTTTGATTCCACCTCTACATGTGATTGGATAAGATCATGGGCGGGGAAGAGCTGTCTAAACTGAACATAGAGGTGTTCACTGTGATAACTACAGACTCCTCCTCCCAGAGCCAGTAGCTAGGAAGGACGGATGGGAGCAGATGAAGTTTGTTTCCCATTGGTCAGAGCAGAGAGGTTCATGACTGGGAATTTTTCCTGCTTTGCAGCCTGGCTGTGGAAAAGGCTGGGCTAGAACCCTGGATGCACTGGAGATAAGCATCGGGCCTGACTCCTTTAAAAGCCCTTCCATTTCACAACCAGTGCTGTGTGTGGGCCACACCAAGAAAGGATGGAACCAGACAGTAACCCTATTCCCCTGACACAGCTAGTCCGTGTTATTTAGGTTTAAAACATACTTCACTCCTTTGGTGAGTCCATTCAGAAAGCCATGTGGAACTGAATGACTTCTTTACCTGCTTTGGCTTGTTATCCAAAGAGAAGACTGCAGCTGCTCACCCAGGGAGAGCAGGTCTTATGAGATTTTCGAGGTTAGAAGTAAAGGCCCAGACTTGGAGTCAGATAGCTCCCCCCATTTAATTCTGGCCTCCCTGATTACTTCTGTGCAACCTTCAGTCATGCCAGTTGAGCTCTCCATACTTCATTCTGCATGTTCTGTAAATTGAGAACAACGATACCGCCTGCCAGGGCCATGAGGCTTCTACCAGGGGGTATAGTGACATGCCCGATGCTGAGCAGGGCTTAGGAACTGGAAAGTCCTCTCTTCTCCCTGATTCCGACTCCTTGCTTGCTGGAAGAGCAGATCACTCAAAGAAGGAAGCAGACTCCACAGGCCTGGAACCTACAGCAATTTGTTCTGATGCTCACCAAGTTCTCTGGTGTGTGGAGAGGGGGTTTAACTGTGTCTCGGAGGAGTCGTAGAGGGAGAATGACTGGGAAGTGTTGGAGGTATAAAGGCAGGAAGAGAAAAGAGCCCGTTGGGAATTTGATAATAATTATAAAGTAATAGTCATAGTGCCACATTTAACTGAACACTTACTATGTGACAACATTGTGCTTAGAACTTTACATGTATCACTTAACTGATCCCTTCTCTTATTATCATCCCATTTTACAAATGGAGCAACCAGCTGATAAATGTCTTCATAAGGCAGTAACTGGGATGTGAGCCTCCATGTCACCCCATTGCTGTAGGGATGGGTGTGAGGAGTAGACAGGGTAGAATCTCAGGCTGGCCTCACTTGGAGTTCGTTCCCTTGGGGGAAGCTCATGTCCTCCCTGGTTCTCACCTGAGTCCGGTTGAGGCAGGAAGTACAGTATGAGCCTGCTTGGTCAGAGGGCCTGCCTCCCTAGCTCAGAGGCACGGTGCCAAAGGAGATGATGAGTACTGCAGTTTTGCCCTTATCCTTCTGGAGTCTCCCAGGTGGAAAGCAGCACCTTAACAAGTGTAAAACTTGTCATAGGTGACAAACCGTTCTCTCATCTGTTATTCCGGAGTCCTCATGCCAGACAAGACTCTCTACTCCTCCCCACTACTAACACCTAGATGCAGGTCTCCGCCTTCCTTCCACAACAGCTCTGTACCTGCCCTCCTCACTTCCTACCTTGCCCTGCACTAAGCCCTGTCCTCCACCCAGGAGCCGGAGGGATTACTCAAACAAAACTGCTCGTGTCCCTCCTTGCTGCCTTTCAGACCAAGTCAGCCCTTTCACAGGGCACGAGCCCATCCGCAATCTCATCCTCGTCTCCTCGGACCCATGTCTCTCCTTTCTCCAGGACCCAGCTCCTCCGCCTGCTTGTCCGGCCATGGCGCCAAGAATGACCCATGATGCCATGTGCCTGAGTCACCTCAGGGGAAACTGGGACCTGGAGGCACTTTTCATCCCTCCCTCACGTCAGCTCCTTGTCCACACAGGCTCAGCTGTCTCGCCTGGTGATGTCACCGGCCTGGGTGCAGGTGCCTCGGCTCATGCCCGGCTCTGAGGCAGGGGGTGGGATGGAAAGTGATGAATGCCCACTTGGTCTCACTTCAGAGAGAATTATGGCACGAAGGAAGATGAAGCAAGATTTTTGCGTGAGGCATGGTGGGGACTGTCCTCGGGTCCCTTGCTTTCTAGCTGCCACAAGGCCCCCAAAACCTCCTGAGTAAAAAAGTGAACATGCAACTTTCAAGGAAAATGTCACTGAGAGCTGACATAGCTTTTGTTAAATGAAGGACTCAGATGGCACTTTCTTCATGCACTGTTGTAAGCACCCTACATGAATTTGTCTAATTTATCTGATGAATTATCCTCATGGCAACCAATTTTATAGGCAAGAAGACTGCAGCACAGAGACATTAAGAAAGTTTCCCAAAGTAACACAGCTAGCGAGTAGTAAAGCTGAGATTTGGCTGCCGAGCCTGTGCGCTAAACCTCTGCTGTTTCGCCAGCTTGCTGTAGCGAGGCCTGCGCCCTGCGGTCAGAAGCATCATCCACCTGCCACCCCTCAGTCCCTGGTGCTTGAGAAGTGTCTGCACAACCTCTAGCCCCAGATGTGCCTTCTTGGCCTCACCTCCTTGCGCTGTCATTTAATATCTCACAGTGAGACCTCATCCTATTTCTCAGGTGGATTTTACTATTTCCATTCTGCGGAGAGCAAACTGAAACTCAGAAGATTACTGTAAGACTAACACATCCACAGCACTGCCAGGATCAGAAATGGAGTCTGTCTAGACACAATGTCATACCGGTCCCTCTAGAGGTCAGGTCCTGCATGAGGCAGGGGAGGCGTTCTGTTCATGCCACACTGGGTGTGTCGGATCTGGGGCGCCACCAAGGCAGGCAGGCAGCAAAGCCAGGTTTGCAGCTCCAGAGCGCATGGGGCCGGACATGCCATTTTGGAAGTCATCTGTTACAGGCGATGGTTGAGTCTATAGAAGAAGAGAGGGGAAGTTAGAGAGAGTTGGGGATTGAAAAGAGCAAAGGCCGCATCTTGGAAAAGGTCTGGTCATAGGGGGTGGGATAAGGAAGGGCAAGCAGAGAGAGAAAAGTGACAGTAAGAGTCAAACAATCAAAGCCATAACTTCTATTTGTCCAGTGAGACTTTGTGTTCCTTGTCTCTTACCCTACATACACAGACATGCACACACCCCTACACATGCATCCAACAGAAATTCCAGAAGCCAGTGCTGGCAAACTATTATTACTGCCAGTTTGCAGATGTGAAAACTCCAAGAAGGTGAGAGACGTGCCTCATATGTAACAGCTGACAAACACCAGATCTACTGTGGGAATCTATGTACCCCACACACACAGCCCCAGCGTCGTGGGTGGTGTGGAAGGAGAGAACAGAGGGGGGTATTGTGTCAAATCCAGCACCGATTTAAGGAGGAAACACAACCGGCACAGAAGCCTTTCAGGAGCAGGGTCAGTGGGAGTGGAGATCCAAACCGAGGTGGGGACGGCGGAGGAGTGGCCGAGGTAGTGAGGAGGTGGGAGAGGCAGAACCGCCCCTTATTCGAGAAGCTGGTACGAAGGAAAGGAGAACCCGGAGGCCTCCGTCTCCTCCCCCTGTTTTCCATGGATACTTTTCCGTTGCCAGGGTTCGTCCTCTGTTCTTTCTGCCTCTTTTCCTTTCTACTCTTTTTCCTCTTCCCCAAACACAACTATTTACTCTGGACATCTAGGACATGTTTAGTGTTAAGTTTACTTATTGAACAAAGTTTTATGCAACTTGGATTTTTTTTTTAAGCAACCCAGTACCAGCCACCTTTTATTAGGCGTTGATTCCAACATGAAAAGATTCAAAGGTGCTGTGCAAAGATAAGGGTCATGTTTGGGGTCCTTATAAGAACAGCAGTAGTTAAAAAGCTCGTAAGCTGCCAGCACCATCGAAACTCCAGCAACATTCCCTTTCTTCACACTGACACACTTGTAATACCAATAGCAACCTCCTTGAAATGCCCCAGCAATGCCTCCAGGGGGGAAATCCCGCATCAGTATCCAGCCTGGCAGCTCCCCTAGTTTGACATCCACGGGTCTCTTCCCCTTCAGTGGTACGACCGACGCCATCTTAGAGTCTGGGCATAACTTGTGTTTAATGTAAAAACAAACAAACAAACAAAAAAAAACTGGAGAGCTGAAATGTTTTTTTCTAAAAAAGAAAAATTCTTTCCCAAAGGGAAGTACTTTTAAAATAGCCTCCTTGATGAGTTTTATTAGTGAATCGGTGCCTCTCAAGAGGGAAAGGCAGGCTCCTCATCTTTGTGTGAAGGTGCCAGAGAAAGAGGAGAATTCTCTGGATGAGTCAGGAGAAGGGTGGCTGCCTTTTCCACTTTCCCCCCAAGCAAGACAGGCACTCGTGAGATCACCCAGCATGCCCAGCAAGGTGCTTAAAAATAATTGCCTTCAATGAAGACATACAAATAAATCATTCTCCCTGGCAGAGAAAATTTGTGTGTCGGCAGAACAGGCAGGCAAGACATCCCTCCAGCTCCTGAGCTCCGAGGACGACTGGGTTTGACCCACCCATGCAGATGGGCTGAGGAGCCCTGCTGCTTCGGAGCCCCCGCTCCCGACAGCCCCCGGGCCCCCAGCTCATTCTGGGAGCAGAAAAGGGATCAGTGTACAACTCCCCTCCCCTGCAAGGACACACACAGCAGGGGGGTATCAGACACCATCTGCTCCACAAGGAGTGGTCCAGGTGGAATTGTCACAGTTCTCAGGGGTCCCTCAACCTTTCCTGTATCCCATGCTCTTGAGGGTTGTGATGCTAAGCAGTCAGTGACCGTGGCTCTCCATGGCTGTGATTTTGCTGTGGTGATGAGCCCCTTCAGGTCACCAATACCCCACTCACTGTGCACCTCTGAACCCACGTGGGGTTTCTGCATGAACTCATGCTGAGTGAAAAACAGCCCCTCGGGGTTCCCATAGGCTTGGAGGGGTGAACAAGCACCACCTTCTCCCTCCCCCATCACTGCCGTCGCGTGCATTTCTACTGGCCTCTATCTCAAGTCCTTAAGTCGCATCTGCCAATATTAAATAATGAGGTAGCTCCTTTCCTGACACAGCTGACGCAGAGATAAGAGATTTCCCATCATCTGATAGGGGGAGAAAATGCCTTGGTTTGATTAGATTTCTTTCCTAAGACTAGATTCTTTCATCAGTGAATAATTTTGCTGACTTCTTTCTAAAAGACCCAGACAAAGGAATGGCAGGCCGGCTGCTCCTCAGGGCCACTTGCTGGGCAGAAAAGGGAGACAGACTCCACACCCAGGTCAGCACAAAGCTGGGCACTATGAAGGGAGGAGAATGGGCTGAGTTGTAAGAGAGCCTTGGGTCATTCTATAAAGATCGGAGGCAGTGGAGAAAGAGGGAAAGGGGTGAAAAGGAAGGAGGAGGAAGAGGAGCAGAGAGAGGAATACATTTCTTCTCCCTTTTCGGTCTATCTGCTTCTAGGTTTATTCTCTTAAAGATGTCCTGTCTATACGTAGCCTTGTAATGAGGGGCTCAATACCTATTTGGCATCTGCTGGTCCCTCCAGTCTTCCCACAATATTTTAATTTCTGGCTCAGAACCTTTTTGGTCAGGATTCCCCTAGAAGCACACCCTGAGACAGCATGCGGACTGCTAGGGGAACAGAAAAATGGAACAGGGAAGGGAATACATCAAATGAAATTGTGACAACCTCATCCTTCTGAGCAAGCCTGGGAACTGGTGTAGAACAGCACTGAGTTATCCTGCTGAAGAAGCAGGGAAATGGTTTCTAGCTACTATTTCCCATTAGTCACTGACTGAGAGCTATTTCTAGGGGACAGCGAGGGTGTTAATTCCTAGCACCCGACCCTCTCCAGGTCGGCTCAAGGGCCAGGTGCAGCAGCTGAAGCAAGTTGGCACGCATGAGGGTGGAAAAGGTAGAAGCAGTATCTGTGGGACATCAACAGCTTTTGTCAGAGCATATAAGTGGCCTGGAAGTGGGCACAGAGAACCCATCCTGCCCGGGGAAGCAAGATCGCAGAGCATCTTGGAGCCACTGAGGCCATTTTGAGCTTTTAGTCAGGGCTCAGAAACATCTCTGATTTTGAGAGTCTCCAGCATAATGGAGGCACAGGTGAGAAAGAAGGAAGAAGCAGAAAGAGACTAGAAGACGAGAATGGGGAGGACACAGAGAAGTAAAGCAAGAGTATGTGACCCATGAACTCATATAATCAGCCAAACTCTCAGGAGACTTGAAGTAGGACACATAAGGGCTGCCGCTGGTAGACATTTGGGAAAGGGACACGAGAAACAACCGTGGAGGGACAGGCTTCTGAGCAGTCGGGGAAAGGATTCTGGGAAGTGTTGAGCCCAGGACATTCCCTCTTGTTTTTTGACCAAATCCAAGAAGATCTATTACAGCCTATTATAAGGAGAGAGAGCTAAACCTCTGACACTTATGGTAGCACAGTTAGCAATTAAGAATAGAAATTGCTAGAATAAGAACCTCATTTCTAAGTGGTCGCGAAGTCTGGGCAGCAGCACTTGAGCTCAGAGCAGCGCTGATGTGACACAGACCAGCACTGTGCAGCTACAGACACAGTACAACCAGCACACAATCTTGGAGGTCGGTCTGGGCAATCACTGCCACCAGCTTTTCCTTGTTTCAGGGCCCTAGGGAATAGGAATTGGTGGTATAAAATGATATTAAATAGAACACTTCCCATTGATCCAAAATTTTGGTGAGGAAGCCCTAATACCAAAGACATAGGTGCGACGTACCAACAACTCTAGAGAGAGGTGCTAAATATCCACGAGGGACTTCTCAGAGGTTAAAGAAAAATATTTCTAGCAACCATTAACCCATCCAGACTTATATAGAAAACAAGACATCTGAAGGGCATTCTTTAAGAGTTATTGAGGCAGGAAGTTAGCTTAGCAGGGGGTGCTGTGATCTTTCTTTTTTCTTCCATCATGTCAAAACAAGAGAAGGGACACTGACAAAATTGAGACAAAAAAAAAAAAAAGACTGGTATCTTATAGTCCCAATCTGCTGCAAAACTTGTGGATCTATTTGAGAGAGCTTTGGGAGAAAGTGACATTTGTTCCCCTGGAGTTTGGAGGTATGTTTGAATACAGAGACTCAGCCTTGTCCCCTGCTGAATTTGGAAGGCAAGAGCATGGCTGAAGTCACCCACTAAGGCACGGCAAAGAGAGTGAACAGAAAAAGACCAGTGTTAGTGTGAAAAGGAAGCATGATTTTCCTTTGGGATAGGCATACACTGGGGGAGGTAATTAGGCTTGAAACACAGAGCTGGGACTTTCCAGAGAGTCACCTGCCAGTTTAGAGGTGACAGGAAAAGGCTGTAGGGTGTGGTGTTGGGAAAAGTTGCTAAAAGTGTTACAAAATGACCTCATCTCTTTCTGTCCTTCTGTCCTTCCGCTCTGTCTACAACAGCAGTTCTCAGTCTCAGCTGCATGCTGGAATCACTAATGTTTAATTGGTATTTCAAAAATATAGCAGTGAGAGCTTCTGGAATCGCGGTCTGGGCACTAGATTTTTTAAAGAAGCTCCTCCGGTGATTCTTATGTGTAGTTAAGATCTAGAAGATTGAGGAGGATATTAAGAAGAGGCCAACTGTATCCAATTGTAGCAGAGAGTGGAGGCCAAGTTCTATGGCGAGCACAGCTCCAGGCTGACGCTTGGGGGCCTGTGTGAAGTGGAGAAATTCATTCATTCTTTCATCAAACATTTATTGACTTCCTCCTATGTGTTCTGTACTGTGGATACAGCTATGAACAAAACAGCTAGAACTCCATGACCTTGTGGAAGTTCCACTCTAGCGGAGAGGGCTCTCTTGATTGGAAAACACAGGTGAGGCTCAAGGAAACCCCTCCTGGATCTCAGGTAGGTGATGCTGGGGAGCACACAGCAGAGCACTAACAGGCTCCTTGGTTTCATGAAACGCATTCACAGCTATTGTACCCTCACCCAGTTGACCCACATCGGGCTGGTGATCATCTTGTGTCCTGGCTGACATGGCCCCGAAGGCTCCAAGTGGTTGCAGTCTGTGATGTGGCATTCACCCATGGTTTGTTCCCTCCAGCCTCAGTCCACGAAGGTTCGTTGACCCAGTGCAGCACAGAGCAGTAGGTACAACTGTGTGCGTGGGGATGAACCCACAGTTGTGAAATGATGTTGCTGATGGTGACGATGATGATGATGATGAGCATCTCTATTTGTAGTTTAGTTTAGTGTCTCACCTGAGGGGTCTGCAGCAGAACCAGCCCTTGAACTCAAATCTTCCAATCCTATCCAGGTAGGGTCCTCTCCCGCCTCTCATTTATGGCAATAGTTAAGCTGCCCTTCTTGGGACCAGAGGAAGGAGGTTCTAGGTGCCTGCTTTGTGTTCTTCTTTGCCCCACGCTTAATGACTTGACAGGTTACTTCTGCTCATCTTCCCCAGGATGAGGGGGAGCACTGTGCTTTGAGAGGCCCAGATCAGAGGCAACTTTGACCTACAGGCCAAGGCTAATTGCTCTTATCACTACCTCCATCTGTGAAACGTGTCTCTGGTGGGAAGTGTAATTAGAGCATTGTGGAGCCTTGGAGGGCTGATGAAGCTGGGCTAATTGCTGAGAAGATAGCATCAATGTGGAACAGCGTTTTCCCAGCCCAGCCCTGCCCATGGGTCCTGAAAGTGTGGAACAGAGAGGGCGGAGGAGCGGCCTGCCTTTGGTGTGCTGTCACGCCCGCGTTGCCTAGCACAGAAGAGCCTTTGGGTTTGTCTCTGCCCTATTTATGGGAGGCCCTTTGTTCATGTTCCCATTCCCATTTCCTGGGTTCTCCGTCCTCTTCTGTCTCTTTTCCTTCTCTTCCCTGGTGTGTGCTCATGCCTACAGCCACTACACTATGGTTCTGAGCACCAGCTGCTCCTTTGGTGACCAGCAGATAGCTGAACCCCCAAACCACTCTGCCCAGTACCAGGGAGCACAGACTCTGTCCTACCCACCTCAGAGCTCTTCAGCACCCCCCAGCTTGGGTCCTGTGGTTGGGAACAGCATGAGCTGCATGGAGAAGGGAGCAACAAGAAATA